AGAAGAGTGGCAAGGAGGAACCTTGGAGGCCAGAGCTTATAGATCTGAGACAACATCATCTTCTGGAACACTTTGAAGGTATAAAGCTCACAACTTTACTTATGGGTGCTTAGATCTAGTATGGTTTAGTTTTTGGTCCAAAGGTGAAAGCTTTATGGCTTAAATCTGATTTCCATACCAAGGGTTGCCTCCCTTGGTGCTAAATGACTCCCTAGAACAGAAAGTTGATATCTTGAAGGTCCAAATGAGTTCATGCATGAGTTAAGACCTTTTTCCATGGAAATAGATTATTGTTTTTGGAGTTTGAGCTTATGTGAGTCATGCAAGCCATCAAGTAAGCAACTTTATGGTTTAAGACATGGAATAAGACTTGGATATGAGTTTGTAGCTTCTGAATCGGGGTATTAAGCACTTAAAAGAAAGTTGACTTAACAGGGATGTACGTTGGGCGTACAAGGAGGTACGCACGGCGTACAAGCCATCAGCCAGTACGCTCAGCGTACCTAGAAGTACGCCTCGCGTACGCTGCCAGGTTTGCGCCTTGAGCATTTGGGCTCGGTGTGGGCTGTGCTTTGGACTATAGGTCTTTGGGCCTTAGTGGGCCATCAGGAGTCAGTGATTATGGGCCAAGTATATGTGTTGGGCTTAGGGTAAGGCCCAATAAAGGGATTGGGCCCAATATAGCAAATTGGGCCAATAGTGGGCTTGGGAAGCCTACCTAGTGTTGGGCCTTTTTATATTATGTTTTGGGCCCTAGTTATGGACCATTATGGGGTAGGGGTAAAATAGTCATTTTACCCTGAGGGTGACTATGATATTGGGCTAAGTGATATTGTGATCTTGGTAGCTCGGGGAGCCGAAGAAGCAGCAATCGGGGAAGTTCCAGTTAGCAGCAGAAGGTCATCAGCAAATTTCAGCAGTGTAGGTGGGTTTCCCTTTGTGTGAATGGGTCTACGGCCAGAATGTCGGCCCATGTAGCGATGAGTAGGAAGACCTGGGGGTTAGCCCTAGGCACTATATGCTAGTATGATATTCCGGACCAAGGTCCGATATCGGGCGGGTGCCCAGTGAATCGTTTGCATGATAGATTATACTTGTTGTTTGTGTGATACTTGTATGTGCCTGGTAAGGAGGTGAGGTTGGGCGAGGTCCCGTATCTCACCATTAGCAGAGTATGGACGGGGTTCCATATCTCATTAGTAGCAGAGTAGGGGCGATGCCCGAGTTAGTAGGGAGGTGAGTGTGGGCGGGGGTTCGTGGACGGGGTTCCATGACTCACTAGTAGCAGGACAGGGGCGGGGCCCAAGATAGGCTAGGCCTTATATCAGTAGTTCCGGATTGTGGTCCGATGTCGGGGTGGTCCTGAGAAGTAGTTCAGTATGCTTGATGTCTTTGTGATTCATGCATGTCTATGTGTTATGTGTTCCGGACTGCGGTCCGATGCAGTATGCAGTATATGTGTTATTGTTATATGTTATGATTATGTTATGCTATGTTCAGTTAGTTCCGAACTTCGGTCTGATGCAGTGGGCAAGGCCCTAGTTAGTTTCGGACTTCGGTCCGATGCAGAGGGCAAGGCCCTAGTTAGTTCCGGACTTCGGTCCGATGCAGAGGGCAAGGCCCTAGTTAGTTCCGGGCTTCGGTCCGATGCAGAGGGCAAGGCCCTAGTTAGTTCCGGACTTCGGTCCGATGCAGAGGACAAGGCCCTAGACAGTTCCGGACTTCGGTCTGATGCAGTGGGCAAGGCCCAGTATGTGGTATGTGGTAGGTTGGGGAACTCACTAAGCTTCGTGCTTACGGTTTTCAGTTTTGGTTTCAGGTACTTCCGGTAGCGGAGGGAAGAGCTCGGGGTGATCGCATGGCACACACACAGCAAAGAAGTTTAGCCTGGGATGTTTACTCTGATAAAATGAACAAGTGTTTGGAAAGATACTTTGATTTATTATATAACCCTTTTTGTATGTTGGAATGATTTGATACTATGATTTAGTAATGTTTTCAAACGAAATTTTTTTGGTTGTGATTTTTGGGTCGTTTCATATGCACTCCACATAATTTACTTGTGTTAGATCATAACCAACATTTGCAAGATATATGTGGAGCCTCATATTAACTTTTTTAAAAATCATTATGTAGAAAGAGGATGCTACAACATATAAATACAGACATAAGTGTATGTCGCAACGATGTGGGATATACGAATACTTTTCCTTAGAAACGAAAGCTCGATGAGGTCAAACATGAATGTGTTAAGTCATATGGGTGTGGACGTTGGCTCTCGCATCATATAAAATATGTGTGGAGTCTCATATTAACTCTCCAAGAGAGAGAGAGAGAGAGAGAGAGAGAGAGAGACTTCAACATGTATAAAAACAAAAGGAATCGTCTCGTACCGATGTGGATACATTAACAAAATCTTCTTTGATCCTTGTAAAAAAATCAATTACCTAAAATGACTTGATGTTAAAAACATCAACATACATGAAATACTTTTTTACAAAATAAAAAGACTAAACTACACAAATGGTCCATGTGGTTTGCTCAAAATTGTCACTTTGGTCAAAAAAAGTTTGGACTAGCACCATAGGTCCAAAACTTCACTTTGTTGCGTTTTTGGTCCAATCTATTATGTCTTTTTTCAAAATGACGGATTTGCCCCTATTAATATGATTTTTTTTTCTTATTTGCTTTTCTGATTTTCATATTAAAAAATAAATAAATAAATAAAAATAAATATACAGCTATAACCCACCAAACTCCACCCCACCTCTCTCTCTCTCTCTCTCTCTCTTACTTCTCTAGAAACCATCTCCGTATCGGCGCCTCTTCTCCAATCTCCAATCTCCGCTCCAGACCTCCGATCGACAGTACCGGATACTGCTCCTTCTCTGATCTGGCTAGTCCCATTTTCTTTATCGGGTTACCCCTTCTGGATCGATACAGGAATTTTGATTTCTGGAATTGATGAATCACATGGTTTTCTTCTTCTGTTTTGAATCTAAAGATCAATTCGTGTTTGACTTTTGGTTTGGGTGTTAAACCTATTTTCTTTTTCTGGTTCAGTAAGCTGATGATTTTTTAATAAAAATATATGAATTACATTTTGAGGGGCTTGGCTAACTTCTTTTGAAGAGCAATATGTGGCTTAAATCAGAAATCGAAAGACCATGGCAAATATATTATATGTTTTTGTTCTCTTGTGATTCGATTTTGTTTTATGGGGCTGATTAATCGATGACCCCTTTTGGCCCCTTATTCCATGTATTGTTCTCTGCAGTTCAACAAAAAGAAAGAAGAGACCTGTCGTGGCTTCTTGTATGGGTGCAAGAGAGATTTATGACCAACAAAAACTCTAATTCCAGATATTCAAAGAAACTGCTTCTTCTTCAACTCTTGTTAGCGGAAAGAACTATGGGATTTTCCGTTTCACAAAGAGAAACTTGAATAAGGAAATTATCTTAAAAGAATTGTTGTGGGCGGTGGCCTTCATCACGATCATCTCTGATTCCTTCATCTCCAATATGGTAAAAAACAGGGGTATAGTGTTCAGTTAGTGGTAACGGGCAATGGAGATTAAGGTGTAATGGTATGAAGTCAGAGAGAGAGAGAGAGAGAGAGAGAGATTGTATATTTTATTTATTTATTTTCTTTATAAAAAAATTATTAAAGTAAAATAGCAAAGACAAATTTCTTGTTTATTTTTTTTTAAACTAAATATATTTAAATAAATAAATAACTAAAAAAGAAAAAAGTAAGGGCAAAATCGTCATTATGAAAAAGTTCAAAGCAAATTGGACCAAACTCGTAATAAAATGAAAACTTTGGACCTGTGCTGGTAGTGCAAACTTTTTTGGACCAAAGTGGCAATTTTGAGCAAACCACAGGGGCCATTTGTGCAGTTTAGTCAAATAAAAACATATTTTACGATTGTCCTAATTCATCTATAGATATGTTATTTAATTTCATTAATTCAATGCATTTTGCATTAGTTACTACATGGGAAAATTCCTTATTATGAGTCTTTACGAGTAAAGACTTATACGAAGCACGAAATAAAATCAAGTGGCGTAGTTCTTAGATTGGTGGGAGTGGTGTTGTGGACGTCGAGCCCCTTCTCACTCTTCTCCATTGCCAAGTCTTTGTTGATGAGAGAAAACAACATTTGGCTGTCGAGGAGAGAGAAATGGCAGCATCGACAATTCCACGTGGACATATTCCTTCTCAGCATCAACTTCCATATTATCTTTGTTATGCTCTTACCACTCTCACTCCTACTACCCTTACGAGTTTGACCTTTTATTTGTATTCAAACTTTGAAGATATCATAAAGTCCAATATACTATAACCATTAAAAAAATTAGTTTTTGCAAAAAGTTTGAGTATATTTCGCGAGATTACTTTGTTTTTATAAACGAGTTTTTATCGGAGGAATCTTAGACATTACAATAGTGTTTGGGAAAGCTTACAAAATGATTTTTTTTTCATTTATTACTAATTTTATAAAATGAATGTTTGGATGAGTTTTTTAACAACTTATAATTGTCATGTAATGGAGATAACTCATTCTTATTAAGTTACGCATTTCTAACTTATCAAAAGCTTCCAAACATTTTGTTATAATACCGCTATAAACTAATAAATTAAAAAATTCTTATAGTTTTAATTAAACACCTAAAATCTTCAAATTTTATAAACAAAATAAAATTTAGCGATGAAACATAAAGATACCCTAAATAACATATAAATGTTCAAGACCGTTGAAATGATCAGAAAATTAATTTCATAGAATTAAAAGTAATCCTCAGAAAGGATGTTGTAAAATACCTTATTATCTTATAATAATTTTGATCATTCGTTAGCCCTAGTTATTTTGTACCAAAAGATAATAATCATCAAGAAAAATCTTAAAATAAGGTTAACGAAAGCAGGGCTAATATTTCTGTTCTTCATTTTCCTCCAAACTCGCGCCAAGGCTACCTGCAATCGATAAATACGTTACACACATGTGTGTTTGTTTTTCTCTCTCTATATATACACACACATGATATGTATACATATAGAGAGAGAAAGAGAAACACATACATGAGAACCTTCTAGTGAGAGAAAGAGGAGATAGAGAGAGTGGGAGGAGCACTGGTATAAATTAAGTGCTCGTCCGACGTCGAAAGCACAAGAATTTGTGAGTGTCTTTTTCACTTTATCATTACTCTCATGTGCTTCTACTTGATTCTGCTAATGGGGATGGCCATACAGTAAAGGTTCGTCCTATTTTGATTGATTTTACCCTACACGATAAGTTTTTCTGCGCGATTGATTTCGGTTGTGTGCTTCTCGTTGTTTTGTATGCTTTCAATTGAATAACACAATTGGAAATCGTTTGGTTTCTCCAATCTCTTTCGGTAATAGTTAATTTTGTGTTAGATCAATAGAATGTTTAATAATTTATCGATTTCGTGCTTTGTATTGGTTCATCTTCATGATTTGGTTTGATGAAATTTGAAGGTTGGGCGGTGTTTATGCTTTCTATAATTTATCCAATTAGCTGATTGCATAATTTTGTTACCGGTTTGGTCGTTGAGATTGGTGCCTAAAGGGTTTCATTGAAGGTACCTCTTAAACTGTTAATGAAAGAAGTATGGATGTGTGCTTCAACTGCCATGGTGAAAGTTTCAGCAAGAAGTCACACATATCTTTTAGGACCCCAAAATTTTACAAGCAAACAGGGGGTATTTACTGCTTAGATGTATATTTAAGCTGATTACTGCATTAATTACTTAGGTTCAAGGGTTTCGGTCAAATTGATTATGATTCTGGATTTCCTATCATCTAGGGTCAAGAGTTGGAGTGGTAGTTATGAAATTGCTGTAAAAAATTGATAGATTGAAATAAATGTAAAATTACCTATCTATCCCTAGCTGTAAGCAACTACTTATCTGATAGATTGATAGGTTCTGATTCTGATTCTTCAAGTTGCAACAATCGTTTTACTACACATCTAATGTTATGTTTCCGAATTAGGAATGAGCATCTTGATGTTGTATTTCAAGAAATATTTTTAGGTAATCACAAAGATTTCACTAGAAACTATGTCTGAGGCAAATTCCAATATTCTCTTTTTATATTCTTATCAGAGATATATAGTTAGGTTAAACTAAAGCTATAAGCTCTATGTTTTCATTTCGGGTTGTTCTCCAATTGTAAGTGTGTTTTTAATCTCCATATCTAGTCCTGAAGTTCAGTTCTTGCATGAGAATGGTCTTTTCTTTGACTTAAGGACAAGTGTTAGCAAATATGATTATGTTGAGCATATTCTACTACACTTATCTTTTTCCATTGACGTATATTAGCTATTCATGATCTTTTTGACATTTTGTGTTCGGGGGTTGCATGCTTTAATAGTTAAGCTTTTGAGGACATTAATGATAGATACAGATAATTATCATTGTTTATGATATTCCCAAGTCTTTGTCTCAGGGGTGCACGGGTATTCACAGGGCAACCAAACCATGATGTGATATGCTGTTCATGAAATACCTTATTTCACATATTCAGAAACCAAAACTAATGTAATTATTAAAAATGTACAGAGGGTGACATCTCCTTACATTACACCCTCATCAATGGCCCCAGGTGGATTGCCTTACTTTGACCCTGAGTATGAGAGCTTAAGCATCCGAATAAACCCTCCAAGGGTTTCTGTAGATAACCATAGTTGTGGTGAATGTACTTTAGTCAAGGTAACCTTTTTACCCTTTTATCACATAACGAATATACCGATTTTCGTTATAATATAATTATATTTATTTTTTGTATGTGTTTGATAGGTTGACAGTGTAAACAAACCAGGAATACTACTGGAAGTGGTCCAAATCTTAGCAGACTTGGATCTCATTATTACTAAAGCTTACATCTCTTCTGATGGTGGATGGTTCATGGATGGTATGCTTATATTTATTAATTATTACATGAACATATAAATATATTAAATAAAAATACGAGTTTAGTTATTGGTTCTTCCTGTTTTTCTTCTACAGTGTTTCATGTCACTGACCAACAAGGAAACAAAATAACAGACAAAATGACGATTGATTACATAGAAAAGGTATGTTTTTTAAAAATAAAAAAAGTTAGTTATATATATATTTGTATCTAAAATCTTGCAACTTTTCATATAGGCTCTTGGTCCAAAAGGGCACACATCAGATGAAAGCAAGACATGGCCCGCAAAGAGAGTCGGGGTCCACTCAATGGGAGACTACACAGCCATTGAGCTTGTCGGTAGGGACCGCCCGGGTCTGTTATCCGAAATCTCAGCCGTAATTGCAAACCTTAAATTTAATGTAGCAGCTGCTGAGGTATGGACCCACAACACAAAAATAGCATGTGTTGTTTATTTAAACGATGATACGACTGCTGGAGGTGTAGATGATCCAACTCGATTGTCTGCCATGGAAGAACAGCTCAAGAACATACTTCGTGTCTGTGGAGATGATGATAAAGTGGCTCATACTAATTTCTCAATGGGTTTGACTCATATTGACCGAAGGTTACACCAGATGTTGTTTGCTGAAATGGATTATGAAGGGAAAGGGTTGAGAGATGAGGCTGATTGTGCTGCGTTTTTGGAGTTGAAGATTTCGGTTGATCGGTGTCTGGAGAAGGGATACTCCGTGGTGACTGTGCGCTGTAGGGATCGGCCTAAACTTATGTTTGATATCGTCTGTACCCTTACAGACATGAAATATGTTGTCTTTCATGCCACAATCTCATCAGATACCCCCTATGCAACACAGGTATTCCATTTACCAATATATTTTGACATTTTTGTTATATTTCATTGACGAAACTGAAGATGGTTTTTAAAAATTCAGGAGTACTATATTCGTCATGCGGATGGCACCCCTGTCAACACTGAAGGAGAGGAGGAAAGGGTTGTTAGGTGTATCAAGGCTGCAATTCTGCGTAGAGTAAGCGAGGTAAGGAATATTAATTTTAAGGGCATTTTCGGTATTTGATTATGTCTAGATTAAGTTAAAAAAGAGAAATCAGGTTAGAATGTGTTGTTGCCTAAGTAAGATTCCTGATTGTTTTGTAATGAAGGGTCTTAGCCTAGAGCTGTGTGGAAAAGACCGCATAGGATTGCTTTCGGAAGTGACACGTGTCCTTCGGGAAAACGGGCTTTCAGTGTCAAGAGCGGGTGTGACAACTGTTGGGGAGCAAGCAGTGAACATATTTTATGTAAGAGATGCTTCTGGTTCAGGGAATCCAGTAGACATGAAAACCATTGAAAGGTTGAGAAAAGAAGTAGGCCAAACAATGATGCTTAATGTCAAAAAACCCCCTTCAACTTCAAAACAACCACAACCACAACCAACAAATAAAACAAGCTTCTCATTTGGGAGCTTGTTGGAACGCTTCTTGCCTTGAGGCTTCAAACTGTAAGTGAAATTTGTGTTTGATGTTTGTATAGAAAGAATAATTTTGGCGTACGATAGCTTGTTTCAGCAAGGCCATGTTCACTTCTTTTTTTTTTGTTCTTTTTTCGTGAATATTGTGTCTTGTTTTGTTTTATGTTTGTAAAAATTAAGATGTATGTTTATGTTTAAAAACTAATAAGTCTCTCCTCTTATTGGTAAGTAAATAAGAGACTAGAGCATTGGAGTGCAATTTGACTTGTTTGGTCTCTTTGCTTGTAATATAATTTGTTTTTATTCTTTCATGATAACAGAAATGTTATAGATTAGTATTTACAATAATCTAGAAAAGGGAACAACAATATGTGATACGTTGATACATCATACATGCATTATTATGGTCAAGAGGTGGAAAATGATTGCATAAACATGTATTTGATTTTATTTTTTTTTTATCAAAACTATATTTAACAATCCACCACAAAAAAAAAAAAAATAATAATAATAATAATAATAATAAAATATCTTATCACTGGTTGATACATAATTAATCTATGATTCCGTGGTCACAATTGCATCAAGATAAACCTTACCCGAGATTTAGTTCTCAAGTGTAAAATGAATTTTTCAAAAAGTATGCTTGTCTTTAATTGTTTGACAGTTAATTAACAAAACAAATTATACTAGAAATCACTTTACGCTTGCTTACTTACATGAAGCGTTTGAAGTGATCTTCGGAAATATTTAATAACGGTTTCCGTATATCTCGTTTTTGGCATGTTTTTGGATATCGGTCTCTCACAGTTTAATGAAATCATTGTGATCTTCACTTTTAATATGTAAGCATAGTTTTTAAAACTCGCAAACACTTAGAAAACCATTGAGATAATGTGTTAAACCGATATAATTAATATCTTGTATAATGTGATTAATAAAATAGATAAAATATGAAAAATACAAAATATTTTTACCATAGGAAATGAAAGGGAAATTTTAGTAGCAAGAAAAATTAAAATTTAAAACAGTATCTTTTTTTTTGGCACGTGGGACCATGATCTCTCCCAGACACACACAACCATCGATCCCTTACACGTGGCTTCGTACGTGTCACCCGTTTCTTTCATTTCGTCACGCTTCCCCTCCTCGATAAACCTCTCCTCGTGATCTTGAAAGGAACAGCTTTTTAGACGAAGAAAATACAACAAAAGTACCTTCATTTACGCCATACCCATATCAATAATCCACGATAACTAAAACTACCTTCTCTTTATTCCATACATACTGGTAATTTAGTGTTCACAGCAGTTGAGCCACTTGTTAAAATCCGGAAAACACCGCTTTCTTGTTACCAATTTTGGAATTACTTGCAGTTTTGGAGCACTAGATGCTTCCGCTCGATGTCTAGTTTCATCTGAATCCATATTTCCCTCATTTCTCTTCCGTAAAGAAAACCCAGTTCTTTTTTTATTTGAAGAATTAGGGTACGTTTACTTTCTCGTCTCCGTGTTCTGCGCTTCTTCACATTCTCCGTAGTTAGGTATTTCATCTTTACTCAACTTCATGTATCATCAAAGCCTCCTCCCAGCTTCTTGACAGTTGTATTGCTTTAATTCTTGTTTTTCCTACTGTTTCTCATCGCCCTTTTCTTTATGATAACAGAAACAAGGCGTTTTATCTAAGGGTGTCGTTTGGGTATTTATCGAATATCAACGATGCAAACCGATGAATTGAACATGTATTTCAATAACATGATGGTCCTTGGGAGTGTGGGTAGGGTTATTACTGAGTGGAAGGACATTCCGATGGAACTTTTGATGAGGATTGTATCTCTGTTGGATGATCGGACGGTCATAGTTGCTTCTGGTGTCTGTAGTGGATGGAGGGATGCTATTTGTTGGGGACTTACTCAATTTTCACTCTCATGGTATCTTCTGTCTTTTCGTTTCACCCTTTGTTTCTATGCTTATGTTTTTCGATTAATTTTTGTGGATTCTGCATAAAACACGAGCTTTTCTTGTCTTTAAACTTTTCAATTAAACAGAGTCGTCTTTTTGGATATGGATTTGGTATTGTGACTGTTGTTTTGATTGGTTAATTTTTTATGTAGGTGCAAAAACAACATGAACAACATGGTGCTTTCTCTTGCTCCCAAATTCACAAAATTAAGGGTTTTGACCCTTCGGCAAAGTAAACCACAGCTTGATGATCATGCAGTTGAGACAATTGCTGCAAACTGCCATGAGTTGGAGGATCTTGACCTGAGCAAGAGCTTTAAACTAAGTGATTGGTCACTTTATGCCTTGGCTCGTGGTTGTCCAGATCTTATTAAGCTCAATATCAGTGGCTGCTCTGCTTTTAGTGATGCAGGTCTTGTGTATCTCAGTGGCTACTGCAGGAAATTGAAGATTTTGAACCTTTGTGGATGTGTAAAAGCTGCATCCGACAATGCCCTCAAGGTAAAAACCAAGATTTTGAACCTTCAGATGATGTTCAAAAAATATTTGAGAACAAACGAAAAACTATATTTGTGTCGTTCAAGTCTTGAAATGTATAAGGAAATCTATTTGAAAATTTTGGAATCTTGAAATGCATGCAGGCTATAGGGTACAAGTGTCAACAACTTCAGTCGATAAATCTTGGTTGGTGCGAAGGAGTTAGTGATGTTGGAGTAATGAGTTTAGCTTACGGGTGTCCGGATCTTCGTGCCATTGATTTGTGTGGGTGTGTTCTTATAACAGGTAAATAATTCTGACTTTCTGAATCTCAAACTCAAACCTAACTAGTTTCCTATTCAAATTCTATCTGAATTGCTTATATGTTGCAGTTCAATAAAAAATATATATATATATAACAAGTGAAGTAACTAAATGCGTTCATAAGAATTTGGAGTTGAAAATATATATGTCTTGACTTTTGATGACATTGTTTTGTATTTGAATTTGGATGACATTGTTATACTTATGAGGGTACATTTTTCAAAGTAGGATGCTGTTGTAGGAAGAAATGGTAAAAATAGGATAGCTACAATAAACAAATCAATACAAAAAGCACGTTGCTATTTCTTGCATTTAACCCTTAACATTCTTTGTAAAACATGCAGATGAGAGTGTGATAGCTTTAGCAAACAACTGCTTACACCTTCGGTCTTTGGGGCTATACTACTGTCAGAACATAACAGACAGAGCAATTTACGCTTTAGCCCACAGCCGAGTGAAAAACAAACATGAAGTATGGGAGTCGGTGAAAAGCAGGTATTATGAAAAAAAGGAAGAAAAAGAAGAAGAAGAAGAAGGGCTGATAAATCTGAACATCAGCCAATGCACCGCCCTAACACCGCCAGCTGTGCAAGCCCTATGTGACTCCTTCCCTGCACTACACACGTGTGCGGGCAGGCATTCTCTCATAATAAGCGGTTGTCTGAACCTCACCTCCGTCCACTGTGCTTGTGCCTTTCAATCACACCGTGCCCTTGCATCACTGTCTCATTGACCCGACCCGAACCAACCGTTTGTTGTCATTTGATGTGATGTGATGTGATGTGTGGTGTTGGTATGTTATGTTATGTTGGGACTTTTCTTATATTCTGGAGAATTTTATTCGCAGCTTTTGGTTTTTCTGACAAGTCATAAATTAAACCAGATATGAAGACCTATATTATATAATATCTAATCCATATCGTGTACCAAGAGGGCTTGTGAAATGTTGATTAATGAATGAATGGCATATATATAGAGGATTATAGTTTGAATAAATATGAATGATCCTCTATTAAATATCAATGGCATATATAGAGGATCATTACTCTCATGAATCCAAACTAATATCAAGTCAAAAGGTTTACTAAGACATGATCCAGAGTGAAAAGGGTTCTAAAATGATATTTTAATACAACATAAATATCAAATGATCAATAATCTCAACTAGGGATGTTATTCGGGTTGGAACCGAACCGACCCGAACCCGAATAAACCGAATAAGGGTAATTGTATGAACCGGAAACCGAACCAAATAAGCAATACGGGTACGGTTCGGCTCGGGTATTATTCGATTTGGTTCGGTTCCGGCCCGAATAACCCAAATAACATGTACAAGATGATTAAGGAGCCGAATAACCAGAATAACCCAAATAACATTTACAAATAACATTTACAATGTGATTATATAAAATGTAAAATCCAACGACCACAATCTTAAGATATATTTATTAAGCAACATATTAAACACTAAACATTAAACATCCAAAACACCCAAAAATCTATCTATAAGTATATAAGTTGAACATTAAACATTCCACACCCAAATTAAAATATGAATCTTAAGTTTTTATCCATATCCAAAATAACATTTTTCAAACACGAATTAACTATTCGGGAATATTAATTGGTTGTTTTCCCTTTCCATCTCCGTTCTTCATCGCCTCTTCTAAAGCTTTTGCGACCTCAATCGTCTACTCGTCGATTTGGTATAATACGCTGCTACTGTCGATTTGGTGTAGTACGGATGATCGAATTCGATTTCCTTGATTTTTTTTCGTGTATTACGTGGGTTTTTGGGGTAATGGTCGATACTCGATAGAACAGAAGACGGAATAAGCTATCGTGCAAGGGAAAAAAAAAGTGACTTTTCATATTCGGTTCGGTCCTTTTGGACCGAATAAGCCCTTATTCGGGTAACCCGGACCGAATAACCCGAAAACCGAATAAGCCTTATATAGATACCCGAAAACCAAATCGAATTGCTTATTTGGGTCTAATTCGGTTCGGTTCGGTTCGGTTCTCGGTTCGGTTCGGGTTTTCGGGCCAAATTCTCATCCCTAATCTCAACAATGGTTTTAAGACCCGAAAAGTCAAAATCAACATCGAAACCAATGACAAGTTCAAAAGGGTTTAGTAATTCATGATTCCAAAGTTAAAAGTTAATCATAATCAAATAAATCAATCGTAAGCTGAAAATATCAACAAAATAAAAAAGTTTCAACAAAATCCAATGGGAATTTAATCAACATATAAAATTAATGCATTACGTATCTATCTCGTTCCCAAGTCAATCTCAATAAATTTAATCTCACAATAGTCCAAACTCTAAATTGTAACTCATGAAATATCTATATGCAGTTGGAGTTACGGCAAAACCTTGTTGGGATATAGTCTGATATGGGTTCGACTCAGGATGATTTTGATTGGATCGGTCAATGAGCGGTAGGGCCATGGGTTGTGACCATGGCAGAACTGAAGTGTTGTAAGACTGTGGGGTGGCCGTAACATTCTTTAGGATGACAGGTGACGAGGGAACTGTTGTAAGACTGCGGGGTGGCCGTAGCATTCACACAGATTGGAAAATAATGGTAAGAGTGTTGTAAGACTGTGGGGTGGTCGTAGCATTCACTAGGTTGGTAGGTAGTATGGTAGTGTTGTAAGACTGTGGGATGGCTCGTAGCGTTCACTTGGTTCTCGAGCAGCTGTGTGGGCTTGGTATATCCATGATTGGCATGTAGTTCCTCTAGGTGAGATTCGACCATGGCAGGTCAGGTCATGAGACTGTGGGAAGGCCACAACATTCGTGGAATTAAGGAAGGTTGTGGGTCGTATGAGGCCGGTTGTGATATAAGACTACAGTTGGGCATGTAGCATTCATTATTATAAAGTGAATTTGGTTGCATCGGGTTGATGGTTGGTTAGGTTCAGTTTGATCTGAAAGGTTGTTGGAGGCCTGATGGCAAGCAAGCTATGACAACTCTTGCCAAATAGACACTCGTTTAGAAGTCGTATGGTGCGATTATGTGAGGCTATTAGCCTCAACAACCGGTTGGAAATCCGGTATATCAGTTAATTGGTAGGTGAGTATGAGACCAGGGAGGTCTCGATTGCATGAGGTAGTGCTAGTGATTGGGACTCGTGTTATGAGTCGCTTGTTATTAATTGAATATGTTAAGTCGCTTGTTGCACGGGTTAAATAATCTCAGAATAATTGATTTGACCCTGCTGCGCAGCTCTCGTTTGAGTCTAACCATTGTAGGGATGAGCCTTTTACTCGAAGGATTATCTAAGCCTTCTATCAAGTGAAAAGTTTTGGTTATCTTTTAGGTATTTGGTGTGACATCCCCAAATTCATGGTTATTTTAAAAATTTTATTTATGCTTATTTAAAAATCAGAATATCCACTTTAAAGAGTGTTATTGCGGAATTTTTTCTCAGAAAACATAATAAAGATATTATCAAAGCATTTCCGAAGAAATGTATTTTGTTTATATTAAAACTTTGGGATGTCATCATCAATACAGAAACATAAGCATAAACAGACCTTACATTCATTTACACTAATTATCTACACGTCTTTTAATGTCTCAGTGTAATGTAGTTTCGTATTGACATCTATGATACAAATAAACTGAGTGGGTCAGGTTGGGAAACTTGGTAAGTACATAGGGTTTTCAACCCACAATAATAAAGTTATTATGTTTCATCATCACACAATTAACCCAATTACCCATCCTCATTATCTTCTTTATTTCTTAAGGATCCACCCTAAGAATCATCTATCATTCACTCATTCATTCCTAAGGATTCTCCTAAGGAATAGGCACGAAGTCTATCGTTGCCTATAGAACAGCTGCCAATGTTATATATTAGGCACAACTGCCAATATTATCATTTAGGCGCAACTGCCAGGATTATGATATTATCTATTAGACACAGCTGCCAATATTATCCTTTAGGCACAACTGCAAAGATTATGATGTTCTCTATTAGGCACAACTGCCAATATTGTCCTTTAGGCGCAGCTGCCAGGATTTTTAGAGCACATCTGGTGAACATGTAGTTCAAAAACACCTACAGGTTGTGGCGCAGCTGCCAATGTTCATCTATAGAGCACTAAGTCCATAGTTGCCAATGTTCATCTATATCATCTTTCATCTCTCATCATTCATCTACCCATCTTTACCCAATATTTTTATAGGTATAAAATACATATACAGTTTAAATCAAATAAAACATGTATATTTGGTTCATCCAACATAGATATCAAGAACACAGATAATATGCACACATAGCACGTAATTTATATTAAATGATTCATATCTATGTGTAAGGTGAAAGTAACTATGCACTCAGTTGTTAAAGTGGCGACTCGAAATTCGGACAACGTTTCGCTTCTAACAATCGTATTTTCCTTCGACGAAACCTAGTATTATTATCACTAGATTTTAGTCTAATATTTATAGCGATTATTTACGAGCGACATTGTTTTATAAGTGTTAAACAATACTTTTCAACCACTATGTACAGACAGGGGCTAGACATGAAACACCGGGGGGCAGGACCATTTTGGCATTATAGTACTTCTAAAATCCAACAACCCTATGCGGCCCTTCAAACCAGATTCCCCGTACCGCGAGTAGTTAAAAGATATTATAATAACACTTTGTATATTATATTTTATAACATATATATTGTTTATAAGTTCATAATAACGATATTGAACTTAAACATAAGCTACACTTGAAGAAGGGTACGCATAACTCACTTACATGGGGGTTTAGTTAGGAGTCGGGCTCTGCAGGGGCAGAACTTCTGAGCCGAAAGCTCTTCTTCTCATAGCCTTCTGGCCCCCCGGGACTCGCCTCTAACACTTGGGAAGTGCAAGGGAATGGAAGAGAGGGGTTAGGGGTATTGGGAGTGAAAGAATGGGTTTGGTGTGAAGAATGGAGTGAACTTCGGCTCTATTTATAGGTTTTCCAGGGGCCTCTCATGTCGTGAGACATGGCTCTCACGTCGTGAGCCTTGCGTAGGCACCAAGGCAAAGCCTGGTGCGGACACGTGGCATCGGACGCAGGTAAAACAACCAATTTTAAAAAATTCATAACTTTCGCATAAGAGCTTCGTTTTTTGACGTTATTTATATGCACGCGTAGGCATTGACAAGATCTACAACTTTCTTTTTACCCCATTGGCTAACTCTTAACCGATTTTAAATTTAACAGCATGAGAAGATTACACTGTTAACGACCGTGTAAAATTCATGACTTCTACATACGGACTCCGTTGTTTACTGTCTTTTTATCGTTTAAATCCTATTAATGAGATCTTCAATTCTCATTTAGATCATTTTTGCTAAAAATTCACCGATCTAAAATTCGATTTTTGAGTTGTATAATGATATGTCAAATCTTAGAAAAAATCATAACTTCCTCATACGAAGTCAGATTTGGACGTTGTTTTTATGTATGTTCTCGGTTTAACGCATACTACGACTTTTGTTTAGATCGCTAAGGCTAAAAAGTAATTTATCAAAAATTCACTTTTTACGTTACGCGGTGTCGTGTCGGTTTTGTCGTAAAACTTCGACGGGTCATAACTTCTTCGTTATAAGTCGGATTTCAGTGTTCTTTATATGTACGGAATCCTTGTGACATATATTATAACTTTGGTTAAGATTATTTACTCTAAATAATATTCTATCAAAAAAATCATTTTTGACGCTTATTGTCTCTAAATTGACTAGCCCGAATCTGCGGGTGTTACATTTGGGCCTTCTTGGAATAGGCCCATGATTTTTGTTGGGCCCAATTAGGAAGTTGGGTCATATTGGGATTTTGATGCTATT